ATTCCTGTTGGTAGGAATGCACACTAGCACATCACTGAGTTCGATGAATTCGGGGATCCACTCTCACCGCCTATAGCTTAACCAAATACAAGACTATCATCGGGTTACTTGTAAGGGACTTCATCCCGATTAGGTACAGGAAGTGGATTGGGAAAGATGATGACCCGTGGAGGGTACCCGAAAGTGAGAAGGATTACATATGGGATATCAAGATCCTAGAGTATTTTACTTTCCCAATGGATTATGACAAGGAGTTAGTCTAGAAAAAAGCAAAAGAAATCATGGGGACATGCTTCAAGAATTTCAAGGGGACATTGTACAAAAATTTTGTCCTCCAAAATAAAGAGCCAGATTTCGATGGTGGACAGTTTAGCAAGCAGAAGGACTTCTAGCAGGATTTCAAGGAATACAGGTTATCCGAGGAGTACTTAGAACTGATCTGGAAGAATAAGGAGAACTCGCAGAAAACGACGAATCCTCATCATCTCGGCTCTCATGGCTACGCCAAAAAGATGCCAAAATTTAAAGCAGAACTTGAAAAGATGGATCGCCTTGCTGAGGAAGGCATTCAGGTTGAGACCGCCGATTGTGAGCCCAGATCGGTAATATACTGTATGGGGAGGAATGTACGTCACACCGAGGATGGGAGCTTTAGCTCCACAAATCAACCCATGAGCGAACTCATCCAGAGGATCTTTTAGGTAACTGAGAAGGTGAGGCAAGGGACTCACACTTCTAATAGGGAGAAAGACGTGCTCACCCAAGCACTCGGAACCAAGGAGCACCCTGGTCGCACTAGAGGAACCGGTGTTCTTCCTTGGAAACTAGCATTCCCCCAAAAATCTAACATTTACTGGAGCCGCTCGAGGGGTAGAGCGGATCAGGAGGCAGAGTATTTGAGGCGACTAAAAGAGATGGAAGACAGAATGGACGCACGGATTGACACGACTATTGAAACACGAGTCCAGCAAATTTTGCTGTCCAAGGGGTCAGGAGTACCACAAAACCCTATTCCTACTGCCTTTAGCCCACAACTTAGGGGTCGCAGCAGCTGCGGATCGACCCCACTCGACGAAGAAGATGCGAATGTGCCTCATCCGGTGGATGGCATCACTGAACCCATCAATGTCAAGTTGTACATCCGTCAGGAATGGACAAAGGACAAGGTGGCACTCGGCCAGGCCTGGCCTGCGGGAGACGAGACCATTAATGGCCACCTAATTCCACAGGGGTACGCTCGCGTCACCATTGACAGAATACTTGATAAGAAGTATAACAAGATACACATTGAGTACCCCGTAGCGGAAGACAGGCCAAAACTTGGTCATAAAAAGGGCTCTCAAGTGACCTGGCGCAAGCGCTTCATTAAGCTTGACCACCAATTGTCCTCTGATGATCACTCACCATCTCCCAACAGAGATCACTCCCCTCCTCATCCCTTGCCATCACCCCTGAGAAGACAGAGGTCTCCTTCTATTCCTGCGCGTCCGATCCTAAGTAGGAGTCAGTGTCCGGTCGTCCTTCTGCCCCTACAGCGCACGCCAACAACTGACCGAACTCTGCACAGTAGCGTTCGGACACTGCTTCTCCTGCGTCCGGTCAATGAAACAACACTCCATTCACTTCCAAATCATGTACCTTTGTAAATGAGTTTGACTTCAATCAATCTTTAGGCTATACCTGAGCTACTTAGTGCTAAGTTTGACAAGTGTGCACCACACCTAAGACATTAGACTCACCTAGGTCAAGCTACTAGTTCATACTCCTCTTAATAGTACGGCCAAAGAAAAAACAAAGTCCTTAACTACTCTAAGTGTCTCTCCAACGCCAAATGACACTTAAAACTAGTCCGCCCTTAACCTTGTCGTCTATCCTTTGAAAACCGAAACGATTTCCATCAACAGGGCATGAATACCATAATTGCCCAATTAATCATCATTACCATGACCTAACTCAAATTGCCTCTACAAAACACACGTTAGTCACAGTAATCTTGTATCGTCATTAATCACCGAAACCTAACTAAGGACCTATATGCTTCCAGAACTCTCAAACTGTAGCAAGGGCGAAGCTGGAAGCATTTATGTCCCTGCATCCTCACCCCCAAGAACAAATCTTGAAGAAAGGCTGAGTTGCTAGTAATGCCTTATAGATGATACACACCCACTTGGATCTAATAAGGCCCTGTTGTAGGGTGTGTGTATGTATTTATATTTATGTAACAGCTAGAGAGTACAGTATAACCCAAACCCAACTCAATGACCACTAGCTATGGTCCACCTTGTCAACTAGAAGAAACTATTATATCTGCCTCTAGGACCAACAACTCATATGAATCAATTAAACCTGTTTTATCTTACGCTTTTAAATCACAATTTATGTTAATCACTGCATATAATGAGCTGTAAATTCACAACCTAAACCCTTCATCTCTTCCGAAAGCTGTTTGCTGACAGTACTAAAGGCCATTTCTACTTACAATTACGCATATGACCATATAGGCTTTAGTTTATTATTCCTTGTCGTAGATTGAAGTGCTGTTCACAGTCCGTCCGTTATTTTTTTCCCTATATATAAATCAGCGACACCTTCATGTTTTCAAACGTGTTTCAATCATGAACAGGCAAACTGCTAACCACTGCAGCCCTGCTCATGTAATCCTCTGCTATTCTGCTATGATTCGCGTTGCCAATGAGGGACCAGGCGGAGGGGAGTGCGGACCGAAAATGACATGGATGGATTGGTCCAGCGGATCCATCATATGTTCTAGCGCGCGCACACCGCACCTGGAATCAACCAGACACCGATCGATCGAGTAGTACTGCAGCTGATGATGACAATAACAAACAGGGTAAAGTATAATTTACATCCTCCAACTATCGCCAAAGTATAGATTTCAACCTCAAACTTTAAAACCGGAAAACTTTGCCCTCCAACTCTGGGAAAAGTTCAAATTTCAACCTTGTTGGCGATTTTGCGTATGAACCGTATTTTTAATATTTTTAGGAGGCGCTGAAATTTTATATTATTTTTTAAGCATCTTAACGTCCTCAAATGAAAAAACTCAAAACTACAAAGTTGTAGATCTCATTGAGAGCTACAACTTTGGTATAAAAAGTATTTTCATTTAACTCCATACAAATAATATATTAGTGCTCTAATGCGGCAAGCGCTAGTTGGCAATTATTATGGTGCTGAAATTTTATATTATTTTTTCGAGCATCTTACTGTCCTCAAATGAAAAAAACTCAAAATTACAAAGTTGTAGATCTCATCAAGGTCTACAATTTACATATAAAAATTATCTTCATCCGCCAACGTATTGAAGGGGTTTCTATTTTTTGAAATTAGGTTGAAATCTATAATTTAGCGATAGTTGGAGGGTGTAAATTATATTTTACCCTAATAAATAATAATGCTGATAGTTATTGTCATCTGCATGTTTCACTCAGGATATATGATACTTGTACTTGCATGTGATTTCTTGAACTGCAGTTATTTTGGACAGTGATTATTTCCTCTGTTTCGAATGCAGAGTCGTTTTGTTTTTGTTCTGAGTCAAATTTCTTCAGTTTTAATCAAATTTATAGAAAAAATGTATGAACATGTACACTATTGAATTAGGTTCATGAGATACGCCATGTAATTTATGTTGACAACATGATTGTTTAACATTATAGATATTGATATATTTTTCTATAAGCTTAGTTAAATTGAACAAGTTTGATTTAGTACAAACTAAAACGACCACCTGCACCACAGTGATGGTATCGATCATTGATTGTTATATCAATCAATATAGCTAATCATCAGGCCGTGATGATGCTGAGAATGGGTATCCAACAAAATCGAAGGGATAGAGATGATCCACACCATACCGTACAGGTGGTACAACGCAAGAAAGAGACTGGGACCCTTGCATGAGCATGAGAGGCCACATGACCAGAGGCTAGCGCCCACGGCCACGGCATCGATTTCAGGCTTTCTAGCTCATCTTGAGATGGAACAATTGAAATACTATGTCTACATAATGTATTTGTTTGATATTAGTATAGAAGTTAACATATATTTTTCAAAGTTTTTTTTTATGAAAACTAGAGAAGATTCGTTTAGAAAACTAAAGTGTCCTATTCGGAATGGATTCAACGGTTACCATTCGGCTTGCCATATGTGCTCACCAGAGTTGGCTCCCTCTTAAGGCTTCCGATACAATCTTTAAAAAAAAATCTTTTAAAAAAAATCATATATACAAAAAGTGTTTCAACCTCATAGTTAGTGTTAGTCCATCAAATATACTACGTTTTGGAATCAGACTTTATCATGACTATACACGCATGCTATGCTAACTTGAATGAGCACGGGTCATGCGTTCATGTCATGTACGGAACAACAATTGAATTAGGACTCTTATTTCTAATTCTTAGTAAAACCACTATGACTCTTATGCTTACGGGAATGAAGGACAGACGGACCGTGTGTGTGCGGTGGGGGAGGGGTGAGGGGAGTGAAGGATGGAAGAAGAAGAAAATGTTCTTTAATATTAGGTATAGATACATAGATATAGATATATTATTTCAATCTCAAGTATGCAATACTATCATATTAGCAGTAGCTAGATACACAATCAAGGTTTGATTCAATTGACGAACTTAATTATCTTGTTGTGATCAATATTGACAATTCCAAGATGAAGGAACTTGTCTGCAATACCTACTTCGAACTGGCCAGGATCAAAGGGAAATGGCACTAACAGGCAGCAAGAGAAACTAACAACGAGACTAATCAATGACAACACTGAACAAATTAACTAAACAACAGAGTATATATATTGACACATTATTTTTACAAGGAATTATAAACCATCATTCCAATCGGACTATATTGCCTCTCCTCATCTGTCAAAATATTTATTTATTTACACACGCAAAGGGAAATTAAGGAACAACGACACCTGCTGCCAAGAACAGTGAACAGCGTGGCTACTGGCCAAACCGAGCCAGTCACGACGACGATGGCGCGGCGGCCTCAGGCTGCGCGGTGGCGGCAGCTCCGGCGGCAACAGCGGCCGGCGCGCGGCACGTCGGGCAGGACGAGTGGCGTCCCCCCGCGAGCCAGCACTCGATGCAGCGCGCGTGGAAGCCGTGGCGGCAGGCCGGCATGACGCGCACGGCGTCCCCGTCGGCGAACTCGGCGAGGCAGATGGCGCACTCCGCCGCGGCGCCCGCCAGCTTGGTGCCCGCCGCGGAGTACACCAGGGTGGGCAGCGGGGGCGCCTCCACGGGCGGCTTTTCCGGGTCGGAGATTCTGGTGGCGTCGCTGTCCCTCTGCCCGGAGCTGGGGCCGGCGCGACCGCGGCGAGCTCGGCGGCTGCGACCGAGGAGGTAGCGCACGGCGGCGTTGAGCGCCAGGGCGAGAGCCAGCGCGGTCAGCAGGGCGGCCAGGATGACGGCCATGTTGCTAGCGAAGTCGCCGGCGCCAGAGTAGGGGCCCCACCGGTTGGTGGCGATGCTGCTTGTGGCGGCCGCGCCGGGGTCAGCGTGGCTGCTGCTGGGCTCCGACCGGTGGCCATGCTGATGGTCGTGCTCGTGCTCCGCCTGCCCCTGAGGCGCCATCGCCGCCATGGCCACCTGCAGGCTACTACTGACCTTGGTGTTGGACTGTTGATGAGGTTGTTCCTTCCTTTTTGCCTAGTTACCTCACCCACGACTCACCATACCAGCAGCTGCTTTGGTGCTTCATTAGCCGAATAGCCGGTGATATATGTTGCTGAGAACGTAAGTAAGCTAGCTAGTGAACAAACCAACAAAGCGAATCGATAGAGATGATCCATATACACCATTCGTACAGGTGGTACAACACAAGAAAGAGACCCATGCACGAGCAAGAGGGACCACCATGACTACCGGTCTAGTAGCGCCCACGGCATATCTATCCATTCTATCCGGCGGCGGATCAAGAAAAAAATTTAGGTGCCCAACAAAAGTGCGAGAGCAACGTAACTTCGACTGTTGTTCGATTTTAAGTCTCAATCCTACCTACACGATAGAACTTTGTCTAAAAATTCAGCGGCCTCCAGGGCTCCGGTATCGGTAGGGGGGCTCGAGCCCCTCCCACCCCACCGTTGAATCCGCCGCTGATTCTAGCTAGCTAGGATTTCTTTCTAGCTAATCTTGATCGAGATGGATGTAGCATAGGGATTTACGTGTTACGTGGGTGACTCACAGAATCAAGCCTATTTTCAGATTTGAGAATAAACCTGCTTGCATCCCTAACTGCCAAAGATGATATTGTTGCGAAGACACCAGATGCGCCAAGCTGCCATTATGGCAATCTCTCTAAAAAAATGAAACTTCCAAAGGAACTCTTGGCATCAATAGTCATGTCTAAGGGAGCTAAGTTAAAGTTCTAGGTAATGTCAATCAAATTCCAGTAGGTTGTGGCAAAGATGCAGCCAAGAAAAAAGTGGAGAAGAGTCCTCTTATCTGGTATTGTACATGACACACCCATTGCTTGGCATGATCATGTTGTTTCTTCTCAACAGATTCCTAGAGTTCATGATGTCATAAAGGGGAAGCCAGAAGAACTTGTGCTTTCCCCTTGCGCAATATTTCCACATCCGTGAGAAAAGAGGTGAGTTGGGTGTTGTGCCAATAAATTGTAGGCAGGCCTTCTTGAAGCTAAATTCCTCACCTCCCCACATGTAAGTTCAGGTGTCTCTAACTCTCCGTGATCATTTTTCAGATGCATGCTCTGAATGAGTTCATGTACTTCTGACAGTTGTTCGGAAGCTAAAGTGGATAGAGGAATCCAAAAGTTCCCGATGACTGGTCTTGTTAGAAAATCTGAGTGAGAAATTCGGCTTCATGGGGAAATTAAGAAGAGTTGTGGGTAAGCTTGTTTAAGGATGCGGCCACACCAAAGGTCTTCCTAGAAAAGAACAGTTTCTCCTTGGCCAGGGTCGCAGAAAGTTATCATTCTAAAAGAATCAATCAGTTTGATTATGCCTCTCCACCAAAATGATCCAACTGGTGTTCTACCTTGAGGTGGGTTCCCTTTTCTGTAAAGGCATTTCCATGTTAGCTAGGTGAACCCAGGGATGTCGACATGGGGCCCCATCTGAATAATTTCCATTGATTCCGGACAAGCCGGGAAATGGTTGGAGGCGTGCTCCGTTAGGTTTGGTACAAGCCATTGGCCAAAGGGGAACAATGAAGCTAGAGAGGGAGCGGTTGTTACATAGAAAACAAATTGCTCCAACAGTTTGTTAGAGGTCGAAGCCTGGTGAGGAAACAATGTCGCCAAAGCTCAGTCTTCCTTGCACGCAATCATCAAGCGAGCCAGGCTTGGTTGCTCTTTCTGAACACCGCGGCATTTCTGTGTTTCCTGAGATGCTAGCAGACATGAGCTGCATGTGGTATATCGGCATACAACGCATATGTCTTCATCGACGATGTTTTTCTTGATCAGATTTGAACTGCACTGGAGGCAGTCATGCAGTAGAAGCCAACCGAAGAACACATGTGAAGTTTTTACTAGGCACACCATTAAAGAGCACATAAGAAGTTCTTGTAGTACTTAGCAAACCTTTACACCAACGTATCCCATTTCTCAAGAAAAGCCTTTTTTTCTTAAAATTTGAAGAGTGAGAGGATGTTCTAGCTCGTCAAAAGTTTTCTCAAAGTGAAACTTGAGGATGACTATTTATTTTTCGCTTTGGTGACAAAAATGTAAGAACCGAAAGGCCTAAGATGAAGAATCTCGCATTGTTCTACATTTAATAAAATTACATAGATTTTGATTATATGACTGTGATCATTTTGTGCTACTTGTGCAGTGGTGTGGCTGTTGCTGCGTGAACCAACACTAAAGTGTTACGGTTGCTCAAGCTAAGCTGGCGTGCCGGCGTGCCGCCACAGCCACCATACACATGCCATACCGCAGCGCCCACTCCGGCATCGATTCTTCTGGCAGCTGAAACGGACACCTTACCGAACCTGATTTGACTCACTTCATCATTCACTCACTCACTCTCATCAGTTGTCACTCTGCTAACATGAGGAGGTTACTACAGCGGTTAACTGTACTACCACGTAATCAGTGGCGGATCAAAGAATTTTGTTAAAGGGTATGTCATACCAAAATTTCACATGTATTTTGGTAAAATCTATTTACCAACTCGGTAAACAATTATAAAAATTTGCTACTCAATTCGGCATATAAGCAAGAAAAATATGATAAGTCTTCTATTTATAGATTAGTTCCTCTATTTTTTATAAGGCGGACACGTATAACAAGAATCGAACTTTAATATCTTTGACCAATGTTTGACTAACAAATTTGAATTATTATAATGCAAATTGGAAAATTCTGATACTGTTAGATTTATAATTAAATGTACTATTCAATTATTATAAGTTCATAAATATCAATAATATAATATAAAATAAATTAATGGTTACCACATAATTTAGGAGACCGTGTCATACGAAACTACGCCGTTGATGTAGGAGTACAAAGTTGAAAAATTGCATGAAGTACAATACGAATATAACTCGCACTCACGTGATATTGATGTTGATCAATCTCGCTACAATATATACAAATATAACACCGCCGTAACTATAGTCTGCACTCCACGAGTCCTTCCAATAGGGAGTATTCGTTTGTGGGTCATGCGATGTGTCTCTTCTATCGAGTCGTAGGTGACCGTGAGGCAGGCAGGTGAATCAACTCGTGCGAGCGACGGTCCATTCCAAGTGCGCGAGGTGCAATACGCATGCCACGCATGGCTCGATCGCAGGGCATATACGGCATACCCTGTAGATCCGCCACTGCACGTAATTAGGAGTACATTACATCGGCCTGCCATACCATGTTGCCATGCATGCTTCAGTCAGTGTCGTGGCAATAGTAACACTGAACAACAGTAATTATTTAGACAGCAAGCTCTGGCACCGGACGTCCGGCCCTAGGCCTGCGTTCGACGCGGCTCCGTTACGCAACTGCCCGCTCCCCTCACATAAAAATCGAATCGAAATAGAAATCGCGTCCGCTGCGCCCGCGCAAACAGGAGAGCACGCTCGCCGCGTCCCACGCCACCACACGCCTGCGCCCATACTCCCAACCGTGAGATGCAATAAAAGGTGGGAGGTGGAGAGATGCAACATCCGATTTACTTTTGAAACATCCAGAAACAACAGCGGTTGCAACATACATCTAAAGACAGTTGAAACATGCTTCTAAAACAATTGAAAAACACCCTTGAAACACACTTGAAAACCATTGCAACCATACGCAAACATCCGAATAAAACACATGCAACATATGTGTGAAACATATGCAACATCCAGATAAACACAATTGCAACATGTGTCCGGATAGACACAGATGAAACATACATCTGAAACACTCAAAACATATTATTGCAACATGCCTCTGAAAACAATTGCAAGATATGCAACATGTGCAACATCCCCTGATCTACTTTTGCAACATCCATATGGTTCAACTGCAACATGCCTCTGAAACGTCTAAAACAATTGAAACATATATTTGCAACATATACAGGGGGGAGAGAGAGAGAGAGAGAGAGAGAGAGCCTGGCGCGGGGAGCGCCATGGCCGCCGGATCTGTGGGCATTGGGGGCTCCTAGTGCCGGAGCAGGGCCACGCGCCCGTCCCCGCACCAGAGTTGAGGATGGGGGTCGCCACGTGGAGCGAGGAAGGGGTCGCCGGGGGTGGCCGCGTGGGTCAGAGCTTGTGCTCGATCGGGGCCCAGCGCCAGCGCGAGCAGGAAGCCATGAGGGAGGAGGGAGGCGGCAGGGCGCGGCTCGCTGGGGGGGAGGGGCGCCGCGGTGGTGGGGAGGAGGACGCTTGAGGCGTGGGAGGCGCTGATCGCCCGGCTCGCGGTCGCCGGCCGGCGGTGGAGGCATAGAGCAGACTGTGAGCGTGACGGGGGCTGGCGCGGTGGAGGCGGACGGCTGGGTGCAGACGAGAGGGAGGGAGCCTAGCGAGTGGGAAGACACGTCCGGCCGCACGGATGCCTCGTTGGAATCATTATCGTTATTTATAGAGTAATTATTAATTAACTGGCTCGACCGCCTGTCCTCCTGACAAAACTAAAATATTTACACATGGAAAAAGGGAGAGAACAAAAAGAAAACAGTTGAGAAGAACCGGAGGAGGAGAAAACCATTGGTCCATTGCCAATCACCAATCGAACTGTTGGCCGGCCGACAGATTCAGGCAAGCCGGAAGCGTAATTCAGGACGACGACGACGACGATGGCGTGGCCGACTCATCTGCAGGCTGCGCGGCGGCGGCTACAACGGCGGCTGGCGCGCGGCAGGTCGGGCAGGACGAGCGGCGGCCCCCGCGAGCCAGCGCTCGATGCATCGGGCGTGGAATCCGTGGCGGCAGGCCGGCATGACGCGCACGGCGTCCCCGTCCGCGAACTCGGCGAGGCAGATGGCGCACTCGGCCGCAGCGCCCGCCAGCTTGGTGGCCGCCGCGGAGTACACCAGGGCCGGCGGCGGTGGCGGGGGCGCCTCCAGCTCCACGGGCGGCTTCTCCGGGTCCTCGTCCAACACGCCACCGCCGCTGCGGTTGCCCTCCTCGTGGTT